CAGGAATGGCTCTGAGGAAGCTATTCCTTACCCATTCTTTGCCCTCTTCTGTCGTTTAAGTACATAGATGGCTGTTTTTGGAAGCTTGGCTCGGACTGGGCTCATTACAACATTAAAAAAATATTAAACTTAGGACTTCCCTGGTGGCGTGGTGGTTGAGAGTCCGCCTGCTGATGCAGGGGACACGGGTTCGCGCCCCGGTCTGGGAGGATCCCACATGCCGCGGAGCGGCTGGGCCCGTGAGCCGTGACCGCTGAGCCTGCGCGTCGGGAGCCCGTGCTCCGCAGCGGGAGAGGCCACAGCAGTGAGAGGTCCGCGTATCACAAAAAAATTAAACTCAGAACTTAATTCTTCTTTTTATCATTAAATATGAAAACTAAGAAGCAAGCCGAGAGGAGTAAAAGACAGAGTAAGGCTGGATCTGAAGCAGTTCATGCTTAGGAATACCTCGGGGGATAATTTAAAACCCGTTACCCCCGGGTATCTCTCTGAGATAGTCCATTCTGAGGTAGGTGTACCTTGAATTTTGTCAAAATGTATTGCGCACCTATTAAGCTCAGTGACCTTGATAATAAGTATGATAATAAGCAGTCTGGTTGACAGGTACTAAACAGGCTCATATCTGGGACGGACTAGAAAGAATATGTGCTATTTAATTGGGGATGCTTGTCATCACTGATGAACAACAAGAAAGGGTTTGAAAAGTTCTTTGAGATATTTACTTGAAAATACCACCAAAATTTCAGATAAGTACAGTGTCCGAAGTAAAGCTACTATGTACTGGGAATGATTTCATTGTGCTTTGCATACATTATATTGTTTGGTCCTCACAACATGTTGGCAAGGTTGACATTATTATCCCTATTTTACAGATTAGAAAACTAGGGCAGAGAGATTCAGTAACATTCCCAAGATCACACAGTACTATAAATCTAAAAATTATGTTATGTACACTTTTTTTAAAGTCACATTTTCCTGTACCGAAATTATGAAGAACCATAGATGGAATTGAGGAAATAGGCTTCATGACATATTTTTTCTTCTCATAACAGGTGAATTTACTTTATTCTTCTTGCCCAAACTGTAAAATGTCATGTTGGTCATGCCAACTAAAGAAATGTCACTAGCCATCCAGCTCTGTGAGGATTACACCATTAGCCACTGCAGTCGCTGAACTTTAATACACCCTGAAAGGAGTTCGGGGTGGAAAACAGGAATGAGGCACTCTGTGCTCTGGGAAAACTGGCAGGACAGGCCTTCAGATAGATATTTTCAGGAGAAATTTTTAAAGAACTTGGATTCTTGCATCTTCCCATACCTAGAAAAGCACTAAAACCATTAACCAAGGTATTTGCTGCTTGTGACTAGCAGTAATATTCTACCAAGGGGGTAAGTGCTGGTTGAACTCACCCCCTTCCCCAAAATCACATACGTGCAGGCCTCCCCCCTTACCTCTTTGGAGCAGTTCCTCGGAGCTATCTGGGAGGATGTCTCCAGGCTATAGTCCCCAGTAAGTCCCCAAGTAAAACTGAAACTCAGAGCTCTCACACTGTACGTTTTTATTTCAGTCAACTGGCACCATTCATGTTACACAGATTTATTGTTCAAATGTGCTCAGCTTTTTCAGTAAAATTAGAAGAAACTCCAATTTTCAAACAGGTATATGTGCATTAAGAAAACAACTACCATGTGATTTTAGATATGGATGCTAATTCCTAAACATTAGTTATTATTTCTGCACCCGGGTGCTTAGAATGTTTAAAATGCCGTATATTCGTGTGGATTTTTCAAGTATTTTGGAGCATATATGAGACATGTTTGTGCATATCTAAGTTTTATACATATGTATTTATTTTAAGTTATATGAGTACTGAGTACAGTGTACATACAGGATATGATATTCACATGTTATTTCATTTTTTGAGAGAGCTTAACGCTCACCATTATTAACTGTGCATAAAATCTAAATAGCAGATATAACATATTGTATAGGTCTGACTACTCATTCAGAATAGTCGTTCTTTGCTTTTATGATGTTGGGAAGAGAAAGGAGTTAGTAGAGAAATAGAAGCATTCCTCAAGCCCCTCTTCTCTAAAACATATTCCATATACTCTCCTGAACGGTCTGGAATATCCTTCTCTGCAGCTACCCCATCACCCTCTCAATGCAGTGGGAAAGTCGGTGGGTAATTGGGTCCAGATTGGAGATGTTTAAATATTCATGAGGCTGGCAGGGGACTGGAAGGGGGTGACTGTCTAGAATGGGGGTGGGGCCGGGGGAAGTGATTAGTCATTGAAAGCTAGTGAACAATTCTGAGAAAGAGATCGAGAGACAGGGACGAAAAAGAGGGATAGGCAGCGAGTGGGTGGAGAGAAGAGAAAAGAGGAAGAGAGGGAAGAGGAGAGAGAGAGAGAGCTTGTGCGGTGAGCAATAGCTGTGGACCTTACAGTTGCTGCTAACTGCCCTGGTGTGTGTGTGTGTGAGAGAGAGAGAGAGAGAGAGAGAGAGATAGGGAGAGAGAGTGCGCTAGCGCGAGAGAGCGAGTGAGCAAGCGAGCAGAAAAGAGGTGGAGAGGGGGGGAATAAGAGAGAGAGGAGGAAAGGAGAGAAGGCAGGAAGAAGACGAGGGACGATACGACCATGCTGTGCTGTATGAGAAGAACCAAACAGGTAGACCTAAAGATTTTTACTTCTTGCTGTCGTGAAATTACCAGAGTGCAATATTTCCCCGTAAAGGTAGAAAAAATATTTGAACCGCTTCTGCTCTGGCCATGGTGCTTGCGTTTCCTTAGCATATGGTAACTGATGCTTGCCTCCCAGCTTTTATTCTATTCTTTCACAGTCTGCTTTTGGAATGCTGCTACTAATTAGGATGAGGTTAGAAAAAATATGCCTGTTTGGCTAGAAAAAAAGAAAAGAGATTTTTTTGGCTATTAGTAAATGTTCAGCGTTTTAGGTCTCTGGTTTTGCGGATGTGGATATGGAAATGGGTGTGGAGATGTGAGCTCTACCTACAAGATGGGGAGGCAATCCTTTATATTATTTGCAAAAAGCAGGGTTGAAAGAATAATATTCAGTTATGAGTATTGCTTGTTCCATCGTACAATTTTTTCACATGTGCTGCGGAAGAAGCCTTATTTCCTACATGCATGAGCTTCACATGGGTGCAGGTATTAATGGAAACACATGTGAAGGTTTAATTAATTAATTTATTTTTCAATGAATGAATGAGACTGTAATTTGGGAGATTTTTTTTTTTTTTTAAGAGAATCTAGAGATAACTGGGGCTGGGGGGAGAAACTGGCCGAGTAGAAGGAGAAAATCCCCTTCCCAAGACCAGCAGCCGATTGTGCACCAGCTGGTCCGAGGAGAGGGTGGACCACGCCCCTAGGAGATTCGAGCTCCGATGGGATGGGAAAGACGAGCCGAGTATTACCTGTTGGAAATCAGGTCTCTTCTGCCCTTCCTTTGCATCCTTCCTGGAATTGTAGTGACCAAAGACGGACTAACATTCCGGATAATAGGCATATGGTGACTCATTTTCATCAGGACGAAGGACACAAACAAGACAAGCAAGAACCAGAGTCCCCTCCCCCTCTCCCCCACTGCTCAGGTTTTTCTTCCATTTCAAATTGCTTACTTATTTCTTGAAAGACGTTTTAGAAACTTGATTGGGGTGAGGGTCGGGAAGAATGACTAGCACGGTATTCCGCAGCACCCGACAGTGCCGCGGCATTCTGCAAAGGGAGCTTTCAAACATTGACCGGAACACGTTTGAGTGATATTGGCGAAGGTTAAGGAGAAAAATGGGTGTGAGATTTGGGTGAGTGTGTGCTTGTACGCGTGTGTGCGTCTCCCTGCGAGGCGAGGCGAGGCGGTCTTGGTCAAAAAAGACCTTTGCACGTTGATTGCCTTCGGGGTGGGGTGCAAGAGATAGGATTTGGGCATTATTCCTGTGCAGGTATTGCATAGGGGGCAATTTGTAATACACTAGCTGAATTCGAAGGGGGAGGAGGGAGAAGTGGAGAAGGAACAGGCTGCCGGCTTTGCACATTTAGCCAGCGCCCTGGAAGCGGGGCTGGGGGTGGAGGGCAGGGGGCGGGGTAGTGAGGATGAAGAAGGAAGAGGAAGGGGAAGGGAGACAGAAGCAGAATCTCAGAGCAGTGAGTGGAGAGGGTGGAGAGGCAGGGCAAAAATAAGTAGATAGCTAGCTAGCTAGGGAGATAGATAGATAGATGATAGATAGATAAAGTATCAGGCACCTGGGGTTTTGTGAGTGGTTTGTGTAAGGGTGTTTGGGG